ATTTATCTGCCTAACATGTTTTCAGTTCAGTAGTTTTTCAGGAAAAAATAAAATGCTAACGCTGCAGAAGAGGATTTTTATTTCTTCCTGAAGTACACTCAAAGAAGGAGGAAGAACTTTTGTTTACTCTTTGTTCCTCTTGCAGTATACAGAAACTTTACAATCACAGAATAGTAATTTTCCTGCTGAACGCTGTCTCTGTTGCTCTCATGTTGAGTCAGCTGGGATGACAGCATCAGTAAAGGCCTTAAACTGAAGGGTGGAGGAGGACGGAGAGGAGGAGGAGGGGAGGGAGGGAAAGAAGGAGGGAAGGAGGGAGGATTAAAGCGAGGGTTGGAGGGCCACAGGAAGCGATGGTGGGGCGTTCCCTCCATCTGGAAGCAATTAGAGCTTCTCAGCTGAGGCTGGATTCCTCCTGAAGACGTATAACAGGCCATCACACACACACACACACGCAGGCAGGCTGATGTCAGCATCATCGACAGTTTAAACTTCATCACACACACTCGGAGGCTGCTGCTCTGAAACACACATGACGTTCAGCAGTTTGGATGAAGTAAACATGTGTTTTTAGTATTTTCCCTGCAGCTTCTTTACACACAAACACACACACACACCACCTGTTTTTCCAAGGGGTTGATGACCTCCATCTTTGTTTTGTGTATTTGCACGTGTTGTTTGTGCAGACGCCTCTGTTTGTGTGATCTGTCTTTGTGTTTGTTTCTTGTTTTCACAGTTTTGAGTTTTAAAGGAATCTCCAGAATCTCAATTTTGATTTCTATTATTTATGAATCATGACTTCAGTTAGAAACACATGAAATGGCTCCTAAATCGTCTGTAGTTCATGAAGTTTATTCTTAACCTCTTCAATTTCTTTCTTCTTCTTGGGTTTAAATCTGTGCATTTCAGTGAGTCACAGTTGGATCTGAGCCTAAATTAAATTCTTTAATCTCTCAGCTCGTCCTCCCGGGCTTTCTACCAACCGTCCCTCCCTTTTGTCCGACTTGGTCCGACCAAGTCCACCAGGCTGCCTGCTCGGGTCTGGCCCAGGTTTCTGGTTTCATCACCATCGGTCCCGATCCAGTAAATGAACTCACTGACCCAACATTACATCACAGCAGGATGACGACTGCTTTGTAGAAGGAGCAGTCTGATATTTCTGTGCAGGATGTTAAACCGTTAGTTTGGTTCTATTTGTTGTCTCTTTTGAAGCCTGAAGACACAAACAGCTGATCGGTGTGCTGCAGGCCGAGGAACACATACTGTATGTGGAACGGTGGCAGAATAGCGCGTACATTAACCCACTGTTGATTCTTAGCTCGGTTTATCTTAAAGGAGCAGTATGTAACTCTGACACCTAGTGTTTAAAATGGGTACTGCAGTCCAAATTCTAAATATTGTAGAGAGCTGTCTCCCCCCGCCCCCTCCTCTCTAGAGTCGATGCTCACACAGGTTGCCATGTGGTGGACACTGAAGCGTCAGTGTTTAGCCAGCTCTGCATCAGTCTGTAAACCTTTCTGCATTTTAACCTCTCTCCATTTTTCAAAAGCATCTCCAATATTGATCCTAGTTTGAGCACGTTTCTGCTCGTGGAGCTTATTAGAAACATGCAGAGGCTTTTTAGGTCGGGTACAATCACTTCTATCTGAACGACTTCTCTTGCCCGCTTCCATCGCTGCAACACCTGTTGACCTGATAACTGCTCTCATATCTGGCAAACCGAGGGGCGTCCAAAACGGCCATGTGGAGGTGCCTTAAAACAGCCATTCTCTGGTCCAAACAAATCCAGAGTATTCAGGAGCAGAATCTAAAGTTAGAAGGAGGACATACTGGCTGCTGCATTGTTATCAGAGAAGCCAGCACTTCAACATAGCATGTTTCCTTAATGTCTGATCATATAGTAAGGTCACTTTATCATTTTACTCACATCTCAATGATTGGACCCTTAAATTTGTTTTGTGGAGCAAACAACCCTTTCTACATTGCTGGATAGCCTATCTTTTTTGACTGTGCTACAGAGCGTCCATCTTGTACATGACTCATTAGGTGGTTTTGAGTATTTCAGGAGTTATGTTCGTATAATTATCGGCTGTAAAGAGCATCACATTAAAACCCCAGGCTCCATTCTTTGACTCTGCTGGTTCCTACATGAACACATTTTTCCAAGATATAAATACAATAAGTAATGACACTTTACAGGAAGCAGTATTGTTAGCAGGAAGGCGTTTCCTTTGAGATAGGAAGTGGAACATGTCAAGTAATCTGTCGTCCTGTAAGAGGGCGAGAAGGGAACAGTTTGTGTGTGTGCGTGTGTGCGTGTGTGCGTGTGTGCGTGTGTGCGTGTGTGCGCGCGTAGGACTTTACTTATTTACTGCTAGCACACACACACACACCCTCAGCAGCATGTCTCCTGGGACAGTCGAGCAGACACCTGAACCTGCAGGTTGAAACCTGAAACTGTGAGGGCTGGTTTTCCTCTGAGTGCTCACACCATCAGACCATCTTCATCATTTATTCATGAAGAGACAACGAGAGGCTCAAAATAACCGAACACTGAACAGTCAATAAAACTCTGTTACACTAAACTCATCATACGTTCTACACAGAAAGGTTCAATCTGTACTCTGGGACTGTCAGCATGGGGAGTGTTTCTGTGTTTCTGTTTGGAGTCTGAGCTGTATTGACCAATCACGTATCAGCAGGCTTGTATTGTGTCGGTGTATTCAGGAGAAACAATAGAGAGGCGGAATATTCTCCGTGCCTCATGACGTCCTGGCTCCTGTCAGCAGAGTTCTCATGAGGATTTAATGATCTGCATAAAAGTGAAGCCAACAATCAATTCAAGATCAAACATTCAAACTGGAGTCACAATCGCTGCTTGAGGCTGCATTGTTAAAGGCAATCACCGTTTAGATTTCCTGACTTTCTTGAAGGCATCGGAAGTGATGGCTCCAGTGGAGAGGTGTCAAAGTTGAAACGATGAAAAGGCTTTTTGTATTTGTATTTTCCATCAGTCAGTTTGTGTGTGTGCGTGTGTGCGCGTGTGCGCGTGCGCGCGTGCGTGCGTGCGTGCGAGCGTGCGAGCGTGCGAGCGTGCGTGTTGTGTCCACAAACAGAGGTGTGTCCTGTCCTTCCTGTCCGTTGAATCCATCAGGTGTGAATTCTCTCCTCCTGCTGAGTTTTTAAATCAGGACTAACAGACTGTGTTTTAATGAAGCTTAAGTGTCTGCGTGTTTACTTTGAGGATTCATAAAGTCGTTCATGTTTGCACACAGGTCCTGTTTACTCATTCCCCTTTCACCTTCCAGTGTATACATAGCTTGACTCGGCCTCCCTCCTCTGGAGAACCAATCCCTGCAGGGCGATGCAAAACGTGTCACTAGCTGTGCAGCACTCAAGATTTTGCAGCATATGTAAAATTGACCGTCCTGATACATGAAAGACAAGACAGGAGGAAGAATGCAGGGCCGGCTCGGTACATGTGGTACATGTGCTCGGTGTGTTGATGCTGCAGGGAGCTGAAGGACAAAACATCACATCAAAGTAGCAGGACGTGAACCAGAAGCCTAGTTCCTGGATCTTCCTTTAGTCTGGCTCATTTTCTGTTAAAGGGTTTAAAAGCTTTTGTCCCAGTTCACACAGTGTTGGTGGAGCCACACCCACACGGATCACCTTACACACAGTGAGAGACTCAGAGCAGCAGCTGTGACGTCCTCACTGCTCGCTTTATTTGTTCTTCTCAATAACTCCTCTGAGATGAGTTTAAAGGTGCAGGAGAATATAATCACCTATCTCACATCAGCATCGGCTCCGTCATAGAACAGATTACCCTACTCTACTTTGAGTCTTTTGTCCGAGTCAGACGGACTGGTTTGTGCTCTGGATTGAGCTGGAGGCTGTTTGAACAGCTCTGTTTTTATTTCTCAAACAGCTGAACACAGAGACGATGTAAATATTGATGCAAACACTTCTCTGAATATGGTGAAATATCCCGGGAGAACTCGTGAACATGCATTAACCACCTTTAAGCCCTCACACTCTGAGGGAGACACTGGAGGAATAGACTCTGGTGATTCTCTGGATCTGCTCCTTGAGCTCAGGTGCAGCTTTGAACACCTTCATTAAGACCTGATACAGAAAGTTTACATAAACACAGGAGTCTGTTACCAAAGCAAACACAACTGTTAGGCTTCAGGGTGAAAGACGTGTTAGCTTCAGACACAAACAAACAGAAGTCTTTGAAAGTTGTGTTTTCAAATTCACTAATGATGGCAGGAGATGCATCACATTTCAGCAACAAGACGTTTTAAAGTGCTTCACAAATGACATCAAAAGCATCAGCGTGTTTAATTTTGCATACATAAAAGCATAGTTGGCAAACATTGGCAATGTCTTTTCTGTGAAGTTTTGAGACAGGAGTTGCTTGAGATTTCTGACCGACTCGTTCCTCTCGTTCTCACCTGTCTTACGAAACAACAGATGGCATCGTTTTCAAAACTTGGGTATTGATGTGTTGATCATCTTGACAAACTCACTTCCTTGTATGATCCTTGTGGAAATATCTGAGTGATTAGTCAGTGGATTTCTACCCAAAATGCTTTGCAACAGGAAGGTTTATTCTGTCTGCGGCTGAGTCTGAAATCACTCACTACTCACTACAAAGTGAAGATACCGTGTTTTAGTGGGCAGAGCATCATCACACCTTATAGTGCACTCATTGTATCCCACAATGCATTGTGACAAGTAGTGTACAACCCATGGTAACTATCCGAGCAGTATATCCCATCATGCATTGCGGTTCAGAGAGTGGTATTTAACTCGACTGCCCTCAGACAGACAAGAGAGCAGCATGAACACAGAAACACAATAAAGTTCACATTTGAGCATTTGGACTGAAATCTTCAGTTTTTCTAAAGAATCAAATATTTAAGATGGAGTCATGTTAGTTTGACCTCATGATGATGATGTGTGTGTGTGTGTGTGTGTGTGTGTGTGTGCAGGTTACGACTTTGCCGAGGTCCTGCGGTGGTTTGGGGAACGTGTTGATCGCATCATTCTGCTGTTCGACGCTCACAAACTCGACATCTCAGACGAGTTCTCGGAGGCGATCAAAGCATTCAAAGGACAAGACGATAAGATCCGAGTCGTCCTGAACAAGGCTGACCAGGTGGGACGAGTACTCCGCACGCACACACCTGCACGCAGCAACCGTTAAAAAACACACACACGCATTAACCTCACCTGTGCCCTCAGGTGGACACGCAGCAGCTGATGAGGGTGTATGGTGCCCTCATGTGGTCACTGGGGAAGGTGATCAACACTCCGGAGGTGGTGAGAGTTTATCTGGGATCGTTCTGGGCCAAACCTCTGCAGAACACAGAGAACAGGTGAGACATTCACACGTTCACAAACACACAGAACAGGTGAGACATTCACATGTTCACAAACACACAGAACAGGTGAGACATTCACATGTTCACAAACACAGAACAGGTGAGACATTCACACGTTCACAAACACAGAACAGGTGAGACATTCACACGTTCACAAACACAGAACAGGTGAGACATTCACACGTTCACAAACACAGAACAGGTGAGACATTCACACGTTCATTCATTCATCAAACCTCTTAAAACCACCGTAGTTCATCCTTTCACCTCAGTTTTCTTTCATTCATGTGTTCATGCGCTCTCTGATGTTTGTATCCATAACTTCTCTCAAGGTTTGTTTCTTCACTCACTCGTTTGTTTATTCACTTGTTCTCTCTCTCTCTCTCTCGCTCTTTCTGTCTCTCTCTCTCTCTCCTCCCAGGCGTCTGTTTGAGGCCGAGTCTCAGGACCTCTTCAGGGACATCCAGAGTCTCCCGAGAAACGCAGCACTGCGTAAACTCAACGACCTCATCAAGAGGGCGCGGCTGGCCAAGGTGAGACAGGAAATGACACATTGTGTTTGGATTTAACCCCTGTGACCTTCAGATTTAACCCCCACACCCCAAACACACTCAGTCCTGGGAATCTCCTGGAATGTTTGGTTGTGCGTCTCCAGGCATGAAGTGAAATTTAAGAGCAACATTTTTAATCTTCAGTTTCAACTCAGAGGGGGGCTGCATGTGCTTAGCTTAGCACAAAGACTTAAAGTCAATGGAAACTGTTAGCTCTCTCGTCTTGTGTTACTGTTAGTTTGTTGTCAGCGCGATGCAAAGAGAAGTCTCTCTTTCCGGAGAGTCCGAGAGCAGGGGTGAGACTTCATGAAAGACAAGGCGGGAAATAACCGCAGACTCGGATGCTGTTTTTAGACCCTGAACATCACTGAACACAAGAAACCTTAACAGGAGGAAACTTCCCTTTGAAGCGTGAAAATAAATCCATATGTGTGAAACCTTGTTGTGTGAAAGCTGAAGGTCAGTTTCGAGGTCATTGTTGTGTTTGATGTTCAGGGGGCGGGGCTTAATGTTTCTGTTGTGGTGGTTAATGAAGAGAACGACTTCCTGTGTTGCTTTCATGTTTCACACCAACCATGAGACAACGTTACAGGAAGGATCCCGACAGAGAAACCGCTGACATCACTCTCTACACACACCAAGGACTCAGGAGCTGCTGCGGCCTGGATCAGTCAGATAGGCTGGTTCACATCTGACGGTTATTGGCCGACTTATCTTCACTGAAGTGTACAGGAATCTCACAGTCACACACACACCTGACCACATGGGATTATCCAGCTGATTGACCCCAAGTGACCTCTGCTCCTCTTAACTCTCATTTTCTACGTTTTGTCCTCGAAAAGGTTTCTGTGTTCAGAGAAGTTTCTGTTGTTTAAAAGTCTCTAAAAAGGAGAACTTGTACTGTTTTATTTTGAAGGTTCCTCTTTTGGAGAAAAGGAAGTGAGGGATATCACAGGATTAAGTTTGTCATATAAGAAGATCAAACTTTTCCTAAAAGATTTTTACTGTTGTCAGTGGATCATTAAAGGTGGAGTCAGTTTGTAAACACATCATTCAAACTGGGCCCCTCATCCTCCAGAAGCTCACCCTCACCGCAGGACATAGTGTGTAACGTACACCCTAAATCGTGTCCAATCACTGAATTGTATCCACTCCTAAACTCACATGCTGCGCTGTCATTGGCTGGAGGAAACACACCAGCTACTCCTCCTCCTCTTCCTCTCTCTCTCTTTCCTCCTCTCTCTTCTCCTCCTTGTCCTCTTCCTCTCTCTGCCCTCCTCTTCCTCTCTCTGCCCTCCTCTTCCTCTCTCTCTCTACTTCTCCTCTTCATCCTCCTCCTCCTCCTAAACTGTTGATTAATCACTAATGGACCTCCCTCCCTTGTACCCTCTTCCTCCCTTCCTCCCTGCCTTCCTTCCTTCCTTTCAACTCACATAATCCTTTTGGCCAGTGTGAGCGATTGACGGCTCTTTGCCCTCCTGCATTCCTTCCTCCCCCTCCTCCTCATTCCTCTGCACCTCCCTGCTCCTCACTTTGACCTCCTTCATTCATCAATTACGCCCTCCCTTAAATTGCTGATATATTTATTCAGTCAATCAATCAATGAAATGTTATCACACAGGAAAACATAAGACAGAAGCCTTTTTCACACTTGATCCTGAAAAGTCAGAACAATCTGCTCTGCTTCAACCACGTTAAAGGGATACGTTTTAAAGGCGGATGAAGCAACAGAGTCTGAGGCAATGATGAAAAGTTTTGCAATGTTTACTTTGACATATTCACACTATGAACGAAGGAGCGGAGAAGAACAGAAAACTTGATGCAGCAGTTTCATAGTGTGCACATCAATTACACCATATAAACATTGTACCCGCCCCCTTTCTCGCAGTGATTTTATCCTGAATATATCCTGCTGTGGTCACACTGCAGCCCAACTTGACTTTGAAGGTTAACGTTGGGGCTGGCAGGTTGAAGTCGTGTTGAAAGAATCAGCCGTTTGTGTTCAAACATGCACAAACATTTTCAGGAGTTTTGAGCACGTTTGACGGACAAGGAGGCGTTAAAAACAAAACCTGCACTGCTTATTAAAACAGAGTAGAATAGATGTTCCTGAGGATGTTTTGTCTTCTTCTTCTTACATGTCGTGTAGTGAAGCTGACCTCGGTCTCTGTCGGGGAGGTTCAGTGTGGACAAACGTCTTCCTGTTTCACTGATCGAGGAAACTGTTGGATAAACAGAGTTGTTGTCGAACACAGCTCAGCTGAGGTCTGACTGCAGGGGGGCTCGGTGTGTGCGTGTGTGTGTGTGTGTGTGTGTGCGTGCGTGCGTGCGTGCGTGCGTGCGTGTGTTCTCCCTGATAATTCAATCAGTGCTACAGAAAGAAACAAGCGTGTTCCTTTTACCCCTGTGATCTGGATCGACAAACTTTCACAATTGGAATCTTTAATAACGTTGATGTGGTTTTTGTCGCTGTCGGTGTGAAGCTCACGGTCCGCTCTCTCCTCCAGGTGCACGCTTACATCATCAGCCACCTGAAGAAGGAGATGCCATCTCTGTTCGGGCGAGAGAAGAAGAAGGAGGAGCTGATCATGAGGCTGCCGGAGATCTACACCACGCTACAGAGAGAGCACCACATCAGCCCCGGAGACTTCCCCAACGTTGCCAAGATGCAGGTACCAGAATAAACCTGAACTTCACTTCAATTAGTAATAACACAATTTAGGTTCAATAAACTTCCATGCAGCTGACTCTAAGTTCTGGGGTTGTTAATTTGAAATGTACTTTGTGCACATCATTTCTGCATCTGCATGTCGGGTGTGAGAGAATGAACATATGAATGTCAGGTTTGTACAGCTGTAACTCTCCGAGAACAAACTGTGATCTTTGACGACAGTAAACACATTTTTGAAGCTTCAATGAAGTCAGAGAAGAACTGAACTCTGTCACTGACTGAAAACACTCTGCAGCTGTGAGGCCTGCAGGTGTGTGTGTGTGTGTGTGTGTGTGTGTGTGTGTGTGTGTGTGTGTGTGTGTGTGTGTGTGTGTGTGTGTGTGTGTGTGTGTGTGTGTGTGTGTGTGTGTGTGTGTGTGTGTGTGTGTGTGTGTGTGTGTGTGTGTGTGTGTGTGTGTGTGTGTGTGTGTGTGTGTGTGTGTGTGTGTGTGTGTGTGTGTGTGTGTGTGTGTGTGTGTCCACAGCGACACTTGTATTTATTGGAAGATGTTTGAGATTTTTGTGTTCCCTGGTGAGATGTTTGCTCTGAGGACACGCACACACACACGTGTTGTGTAGTGTCTGTTCTCCTCTGTGAGCGGTGTTCTCGTTCAGAGGTCAGAGGTCACGGAGGACACTGAGTCCAGCTGCAGAGAGGTTCTGACTTTCACACATGATCCCATGACTTAGTTTTCAGCCAATCAGATTCATTCACGTGTGAAATTTCATTAATTAACTTGGAAGGTCAGTTAGTTTGTGTTCCTGGTTTTTGTCGCCCCCTGTCTGTGATGAAGAGGAACTGCAACAAAGCGCTTATCTGTCCACATCTGGAAACACAAACACAGAAAAACAACCGATCAGATCCAACAAAGATGATCAAATTAAGAATAATTGAAAAGATTAGGTTTGTTTAAAGGACATTTTAGGGACTTCTACTGTTTCAGATACATTTTAATAATCTCATAAAAATTAAAATAATGTATATTCTCATCACATAACACTTATTAGTAAAAATGGCTCGGTATGTATTTATTATTTATTGATTAACTGAGTCTCAGGGTTTGGACAAAGCTGCTTGTTACCAACAGCCAAGGTAAACATGAAATCAAAGAGCCTTACATGAGAATATGCAATTTAAATAAAAAACAAATAAACCAGAAGAAGACATTCTTATCACAGCTCAAACAAAGGTTAAAAAACCCGAAACAGACCCAGTGGGGGCGGGTGCATGTCTTACTATGTGGAAACTGATTCCTGATGGTGCTTTCACACTGAAGTCAGAGTGAGCTGATGTGAGAACGCAGCAGGATATAATCAGGAGAATTCACCTGGAGCGAGTGGGAGGAGGTGGTGACGTTTATTCCCTGTGATCGCTGCACCACCATAGACTGTCTGTACGCCACCTCTACCATCTCCGTTCATGTAATTGATATAATTGCAACACCACCACCCGCTCGCTCTCGATGAAGATGAAATATCCTGATTTATCCAACGATGTTCATGTAGAAGTTTCCCTTAGGGGGGCTGTCAGGAGAAAGTCAAGGGAAAGTCAGGCTGTTAGGGTTTACACATTCACAAACCTCCCGCTGATGATGTACATGTGAATCATTACAAGTGCCGTTTAATCCTGACCGTGCTCGGCGTTCCACATGTTGCAAAGAAAATGTTTAATTGACCCTCGATGTGTGTGTGTGTCTCCCCCTGCAGGACATGCTGCAGCACTACGACTTCAGTAAGTTCCCGTCTATGAAGATAAAGCTGATCGAGTCGGTGGACAAGATGTTGGCCTCAAAGATCGCCGTCCTGATGGCGATGATCCGGGAGGAGGAGTCTAAGCTGCCGCCGCCGATGGTGTCAGGTGGCGCCTTTGAGGGCTCCCAGGACGGGCCATTCGGTCATGGCTACGGCGAGGGCATCAGCGCCGGCGCCGACGCTGAAGACTGGATCGTGGCCCGTGAGAAGCACCGCTATGACGAGATCTTCTACATGCTGATGCCCGTCAACGGAAAGATCACTGGCGTCAACGCGAAGAAGGAGATGCAGAACTCGCGGCTGCCCAACACCGTGCTCGGAAAGATCTGGAAGCTCTCCGACTGCGACAACGATGGCATGCTGGACGACGAGGAGTTTGCGCTCGCACAGCACCTCATCAAGATCAAACTGGAGGGATACGAGCTGCCCACCGAGCTGCCCCCCCACCTGGTGCCCCCGGCCCACCGTAAAAACTCCACCGCAGACGCCATGTACAACCACAGCGAGGACTAGGGCGCCAATATGGCCGCCTGAGGGACTGAGCGAGCTGAGAGGAGGTCAAAATGTAAAAAAAAAAAAAAAAAAAATCACCAAAGAGTCAAGATGTCTGCAGCTGATGGTCAGACTAACGGGAGAACCAATCAGCTGTTAGCTGCAGAATTTTAAAGGATTATTTCAAGAGGAGCTCGCCGCCAAGATGGTCTCGACCGTTGCTGACTTCACCGCTAACCACACGTCTGAACATCAGGACAGCGAAGAAACAAAACTGACTGAAGGGAAGTCAAAACATGATGCCTTTTATTTTGGTAAGATTTGAAATAGCTGCTTTGAAATCACCACAGAAGAAGAACGATTATGATGCCTCATATTTACCGCTTTTATTTTGAAAGGTTTATTCATACAGCTTTGATTTGGACGCTTTTATTTGAAAAGGGGAAATTAGATAAAATATTATTATATATGTTAACCTGCTTCCTGCCTTTGTTTTCCTTCGTGCTTTATAATACCACTGAATGTCTACATCCAGAATCACAACACAAGAGAAGGTTACCCTCATTTATTGAGTTCCTATAAGTTCATCTTTGCACTTCGGAATCAAAGCTTCCTCAACATGCTAATGAAGCTCCAGAAAGTTTGCCTAATCCTAATGACTTTCTGCAGAATAAATATGAGGAGGCTGGAGGAGAAACTCTGGCTGAAGAGAGAAACATTCAGCTTTTTGTGTTCACACATGCAGCTTAGCACAGCTATATCAGGACGTTTTCTGCAGGTGTGAAAGCACTATCAGATTGTAATTTGGTAAACAATTAAAAATATCACTATTAACATGATTTGATTCGCTGTAAGAGGACTGACTGTTTAAACATTTCTAACTCTAAATCACAACTAATCTGGAAAGGTGAATGAACCTCTCAGGTGAGGTTTCAGGCTTCGACGCTCAGGTCGAAAACAGGAGCACAGAAATCCAAAATCAGCAAATGAGAGGAACCTGACATGTTCCTGAGTTTTCTTTTCACCAGCACAAGGAAGCGGTTATTTATTGTCTTCTGCAGGATCAGTGCTCAACACCAGGAAACATTTATTTTGCAGCCTGGTCAGGGGTTAAATGTCAGAGTCTGTCCTGTTCAAACAGTCAGGAGGAGATGACGGTGGAAATGACCGCTCGCTCTGCCGCTCCTGCTCCGTGTTAATGCCTCCTCGGGGACGGATGACGCCCTGAAATGTGTTTTCAGTGGACAGTTAGTGTCCGCTATAGCTTCGGTTTCCTCACATTGTAAACAGCAGCAGAGAGACTGAGAGCTGTCACGTCTGATCCCTGCTGACTGAACACTTTCCTCTTTATAGACACCAGAGAAACTTCCTTACTCGACCCAGACTTTTTAACTTTGATATGATTCTACTTAAACTTTAATATCCGAAACAGTTTCATTACCACAAGATTAGAAGTCCTATGCACCAAATATTGAGTAATGTTTGTTTCCTTTTTCCAACCAGAGTTCTTGAATATGTGAATGTCGTCATTAGGACTGCACAACTGGGATGTACAATGTTTCTGAGGAGCACATGAAGGCAGCATGTGAACAAATAGAGCGTTTTATAAACTGACTGATGTGCCGCGCCTCATTAGCATTGTTATACCACGTTAGCAATGAAACATGTGACGTACCTGTGAGACGGAGAGACTCTGCAACATCAGAGTTGTTTGTGAAGATAAAAAATGACCCAAAGAATGCAGGAACTTACAAACGCAGCTTTTGTTTTTTTACTCAAGGAAAGTGAGGTTCCTCAAAGATCGATCTTAGGGCCACCTTCTTTTAGACTTAGTTCTTCCTTGATGGTGTTTTTTCTGACCCTATGCTGATGCTTTTTCCGCCTTTATTTTTTTGCAATAGGACAGTGGAGTCATAAACCCGGGGGGGTGAAAGGGAATGACATGAGTTTATTTTCTTTAAAAGTTATGTTCGCCTCACAATCATGATCTGTCTGATTGGTCCTTTATAAATGTTCACAGCAGTGCCTGTTCTGTCTCACACTCCTCTGTCAGACGTGTTTCAATGTCCTCTGCTCCTATGACGGGACGGTTAATGTGCTCGAGGAATCTGCGGTTGGGCCGCTTCTGTTTGGCGCCTTTAACAATATAAAAATGAAAATAAACCTTTACACTATTGTAGAGAAAATGTTCTGATGAAACTGCTCGTATATGTCATCTGTCCATACAAGGGAACATCTGTGATTTAAGGTCCCTAAAATACACATTTCATTTTTAATCATCTGACGGTTGATTTAAGGAGTGGGAAATTTCAGTTTTTAATGTTCTCTGTGTACATTCAATGAAAACGTTTCTAATTAAATCTCCATGTATCTGACTGTAAAGGTTTTCATTTGTCTGATTCTGATGTATTTTGTATTCTCGTTGTTTGGCTGTCTGTAACTCACTTGTCTGTCACCAGAGAAGGAGTATAATAAAGTTTATTTACTATTTCAGGGGATATTTTTGTATTTCTCCCAAATACTTCAAAGTTCCCACAACATTTATATCACATGCAGCGTCGTCACAAAATCAGAATTTTAAACTTGGACATGCTTCTAGTGAAAATCAAACGATAGTGATACCTGTTTGATAAACCATCAACTCCTCAAAGAGAAATAATGACCCACATATCTGATGTGTTAAACTAGGCAGATTAATTTAAAGCCAGCTTTCTCCTTCAAAATAAAATACAGACTTCTCCTAAAGTAAAGCTGCTCCATCGTCCCTTCAGGGCCTCCATACATGTGTGGTGGTGACTGTGTTTGCAGAGACCCTGTGCTCTGACTGGATTTTACTGTTCTGGTTTGTTCTGGTTGACTCGGGACGTTTCTGGGCGGGGAGCTGGTCTGTTTCCTCCAGCCAATGACAGCGCAGCAGGTGAGTTTAGGAGTGGATAAAATTCAGTGATTGGACGCCATTCAAACCGGGGAATATGACGGACGAGGACGTAGCGGCAAAAAAGAGAAAATATAATCACAGTGAGGAGAAACACCAAGCGGATAACACTTGTTCTAAAACGAAGGTGAACCTTGTGTTGTCTTTTACCCGTGGACGTGGAGTTGGTCTGCTTCCTGTTGGACAGGCAGGTGACAAACAGCAGCTGTTAGCTTGTGCTAGTGTGCGTTAGCTTGCAGTGTAGCTACAAGCAGTAAACGTACACACTACGTCCTGCAGTGAGGGTGAGCTTCTGGGGCCGATGAGCCCAGGAGGAGGGGCCATGTTTGAATGTTGTGTTTACAAACTGCTACCAACATTTCTACTGACTCTACCTTTAATGAAAAATTGTGCAGTTTGGACCTCCGGTGGTACAAAACATGTGACAGATGTTTAAATGTGCTTTATAGACTTTTTAATGAGTTTTTTTCCAGTCACACTTTCACGGCCCACTGAAAACAGTTCCACGACCCACTTCTGGTCCCCAACCCCCAAGTTGAGAACCACATATTTGAACCCAAACGTCGCTGATATTTCCTTCAAAAGACACAAAAGTGCACACTGACAGTTAACCTGCTGATGTACCTTAAACATCACATTCAGCTGACAATGAAGTGTGTGTGTGTGTGTGTGTGTGTGCGTGTGTGTGTGTGTGTGTGTGTGTGTGTGTGTGTGTGTTTTAACACCGTCAGTGTGAACTTTGACTCCTGCACCTGATGTCAGGTGAGCAGAGCTGCTCATGCTGTAAATCCAGTAAATCCAATGGCTTCAAAGTTCACACACACTCTTTATGGTGACATTCCAATCAGACACCTCCCAGAATAATTTGACTGTATGAAGGATCGCAGGTGGATTTTATTCAACACGTCTTTGGACCTCTCTCTCTGCCTCAGATTCTGCAGCTGAAGAAACAAAGAGAGAGAGTAAAAAGTAAGAGAAATAACTGATGTCCTCTTTAAGTTTGTTTATGTGGATCTCTGAGTGTGTCTGAGTGTCTGTCCTGTTTCTGTTTCTGTGCTTGAACATGTCTTTTGTTCTCTTGAGTGTGAGCAGAGCTTTTCTCTCTACATGTTTTTAACTCTGAAGGATTTATTATGCTCAGGTTATTTTTATTCCTGTGTGTCTGTACCCCTCTCTTTCCTCTGCACGGTGTGTGTGGATTCTGCAGGATGTATATAGGATCTGTTTGTAGTGTTTGTATTGTGCTAGAAATCAGTGTTCACCAGAGTTCACTGCAGGGTTTGAGATGTGGAGAAGAAAAGTCTGTGGACATGAAGCTATGAAAGCTTAGCTTAGCTTAGCATAATGTGAGACTTTTGAGATGAATTGACCTGAGGCACGGTGAAAGTTAATTTAGTTTCTTTGATCGAATTCTGCTCAAAAGGAGAATTTACACTTAGTATTAATCAACTATTGATCTCTGCACATTTCTGTCTCGTGTTTGTATTTGCCTGGTTCTGATGGGTTATCAGGGCCCGAGCACCAACCTCTGACCCTCTTAGAATGCAAAGACTCATTCTTTCTTTCTTTGTGCCCAATGAACATGCCTCAAAAAACTCACCACATTTGGCAAAAATATTAGGCTACATATTATGGTGGTTTTTCTTGTGACTTAAGGGAAACGGCTCAATAGCGCCCCCTAGAAATGTTCAAAAAGACCTCCCTTAAGAGGTTTATTTTCTTAGTATGTAGCTGACTCACTCACTGTAGGTACAAATAAAGTGACCTTACCTTAATGAGTATGTTTGCTTTAAACAATTATATCATTATAGAAATGTAAAAATTTGACTTGTTCTTGTAGAATTATAATTTAACACACAATTTAACACACACACACACACACACACACACACACACACACACACACACACACACACACACACACACACACACACACACACACACACACACACACACACAGTGGGTTATGACAGGTGAGGAATTTTTACAGTAGTGTTGTATTGAAGGTGTGTTTGCTCTCGTCAGCATAAAGAGAAGTTTTTTTATGTGAACTCAGTGAGAGAGAGAGACAGAGCTGACAGCTTCCTCTTCAGGACAGACAGTCAGGAGGTTTTCTAAAATCACGTCTGCTCCCCAGAGGATTAACCGGAACATCGACTCTGAAATATCAAACTTTTGTTAAAAAGTTATCGTGAGGTGCCCGCAGCACACATCAGAACAAACCATTCACTCCTCTCCACTGCTGCTAAATATGATTATTTTTAAATTATTAGGAAGTTTTTAACTTCCCATCGAGGAACAAACCCTACTATGTCTGATACTGAAACGTCTCTCTCTTTGTTGTTTCAGGATGGAGGGCGAGGAGGACGGGTTGGGCCGGGTCAGGGAGCTGCAGGAGCAGAGGATGGCGGTGCAGAAGAAAACCTTCACCAAGTGGATGAACAGCGTCTTCTACAAGAACGGGGTGAGACGCAGAGAGTCCAGGAAGGAAAACAGAGAGAGGACGAGAACACAGCGGTTTTCAAGTTTAATTTGTAAAGGTCAAAAGGTCACATCAGCACACAAAGATCTTCTTCATCCATTTATTGTAGCCTTGGACTGAAGGCCAAAGCACTAAAGTATAAGGTTCTTAACGTAGAACACACCTTCAAAGCTCTCGATTCACATTTAAACCACAAAGTCTCATCACAGGGAAAATGTGGTTTGACTTTTCAAAGTAAAAGTTCTTCTTCTGTTGTGTTTGAACACTCTGCCCGTCCTGAACAGTGTGTTCAGTCGTGCCGTGTTTCCATGCCGGCTCTCTCTCTCTCTCTTTTTGTCTCTGTCTGTGTTTGTTGTTGAGTCTGCAGACACATGCAGGCAGCTCCATTACTTTTATTATCACTGTAATCAACATTCACACGGAACATCGACTCAGCACATCTCTGTTTCTGTACACCATGATTTTGCATAAATCTGCTCCCTCTGAGTCCTGGATCCACTTTAGTTACAAACATCTGGATTCTTTTCTTCATTTTTTCTTGTGAAATTTACAGATCTGTTTACTCTGAATAAAGGGTCAGGATTCAGCTTGCACTAATGGTATTAGCTGAAAGATTCATTATCATTGTTGTGTTTCTGTCGGCTTTAAAGGTGTCAGACCTTTACGAATCGAACAGAAGAGAAAGTTTCACGCCTGCAGAGATGAAGTCAGTGTTATTACTCATGTTATCAGTCACGTTCCTGTCTGATAACCTGCAGTCTACCAGCTAGTAACACATATACAAACACTCATTAATCATCGGCCGTGATGGCCGACACCGTCACCCTCAGATAAAAACACACAGTATAAATATGAGTGTAGTTCTGTATCCTGTCCTGAGGGCAGCTCTCAGATTCCACTGGGCTCTCGTAGGTCTGGGTTAGATTTCACGTTTTTCTTTTCTCTGATAACTGGATGACTGATGAAGCTGTTGGCTGAACCTTTCTGCTGCTGCTCTTCATTCCCAGAATTCCTCTGGGATTTCTGCAGGATGGCAGCAGGGAGAGAAAGAATTCTTGAGGGCTGTAACACACATTTACTTCACTTTCTTATCCTGCAGGAGGTTTGTTTACTATCCTTCATTTAGGTCATGTCCTCTGCACTCCTTCAAAGTTTGAAGCTAAATTATGAGTTCTGCGACTACGTAATTATTATGTAAGAATTGATAACAGATTGCATAATATTTTGGATGCAAAAAGCAAACAAAAATGGAAATAAATCATGTTAAAGTGATTAATTTAGTAAAATGGGGATCATAAGGATCATAACAAAGAATCACTTTCACTTTAGCGAAGTAAATGTATGTTACCCGTGCTATAATAAAGTCCCAATGAATTGAGGGATAAAAGTTACAGGATTCAGAGCTAACATTTAAATGTTTTTAATGTAAATATTTTGGACAGTGTAAAGTTGTTAAGTAAACTATAGGTTCCTCAGAATAAGGTTTTGAAAACGTTTAATTACCGAAGCTTTAAAATATCTTCATATCTACAATCATAGTTTTAGTCTGAATTGCCAATACATGGGCAACTTTTTGGTACGTTGCTAATGTATCTGTGCAGTTTAGCTAGTGTAGAGAAGTTTGCCTGCATTTTTTGGTATTTAAAAACAAGAATTTGGTATTACCAAACATAGAGCATCTGTGTAAGCATATGCCCAATAAAGCTGATTCTGATTCTGATCTGGGACTTCTATTTTTAATGCCGTGGTATCCAAACTGGTATAAATAATGTTAGATTTTTAACTAGAATCATATCAAAGTTTAAAATTCTGCTACTCAGACAACCCTGATTTAAAATGATACTAAAATACTGTGTACGGCATCAGATAAACTCCGTTAATTCCCACTTACAAATAATTCAGTGTAATACATATTTTGGCCACCAGTGGCAGCACTGAGCGCGTCGCCGCGTCCATTCGGAGCATCAGAGAGAAGGGCCGAAGAAGAGTTCTGGCGCGAGTTTAATTTACCTGTCGGTGGAAGTGAACCAAGTCGGACTAAATCATGTATTCTGTCATAAACTCACTTTACATCGCATTTTAACACATTATCAGTCCTTACGGAGATTTCCCATTACTCCGGTGAGTCTGAATATATGTAATTCTTTCCCGGTAATGTATTTATGAACGAAGACCGAAATGTTGGGTTTGATCTCTAACCGTCCTACATAAAATAAAAATTCCACTTTAAGATCTTTTTCAAATTATGTTTTATCTTAAATGTAATGCTAACGACCTGCAGCTAGCTTAAATTATTGTTGTTATTTAACTTTTTACAAACAAAACATACTTAAAGTGTTAAACATACAAAAAAAAACTCAAATTAAAATATAAAAACCAAACTGTCCAGAAAACAAATATGTTGAAATAAATACATATGAAATAAAATAAAATAATACAATTTGGGGGCTTCATCAATGTAATAACTGAAGTAATAAATGGAGAAAACAGTGTTTGTGTGAGTGGTCTATGTAAATATATATTTTCTTTCTTTCCTTAAAATTTACCCAAATTAAAGATACAGTATAGAGACTGTTTATTCACTTGCTGTAATCATATTCTGACTAAGGTTCAGCTGTGGGGTCTGGATGGACTGGTCTGGGGTGTTGGGGTTCTGGTTGGTAGGGGACTGGTGTCTGGGTTGTTGGGGGACTGGTGTCTCCTTGGGGGCCTCTGGTGTTGCAGTGGTTCAGCTGTATAGCCTTCAATGTTGTTGTTTCTGTCTTCATATTCTTACTCTTGTTATGTTTATCATGCTATTACATCACCTAATAAAATATATATATTTATACTTTGTCATTCTAAAGAGGAAGAAGATGATTTTTGAGAAAAACAAAATAATGGACTGTTGGGCGTGGTCTTTAACTAGGAGAGCAGCATCAGGAAGTGCTCTGTGGTCACAGGAAGACTCGGACAGTAGGTCTCAGAGAGGTTCTTACAAACTGTAAAATCCAAAAAACATTACTGAGTATAAAATTAGGAGGGCATTCGTCTTGTTTCTAAGACTGTCTCCCCTTGACGAGATAGCTGTAAGATGTCCCCTGACCTGCAGATAACCAGGATGTCCTGAAGCAGAGGAGACACACGTTATGTAACACCCTTCGGGGGGGAAGAAACACTCCAGTCCAAGGATGAGTTATGAGAAAATTAACTTTTTAACATTGAGCTTCCTGCAGATCACAGAGCAAAGTTCAGTCAGAGTTCTCCGTATATGTTCACCGCTGACATTATTATGTAACATGCAGAGGTGCAGAAAGTTTCCTATTGTTTACCTAACTGCCAATATGTGGATTTAAATTGACTCCAGTACAAGTTAAAATCCTGTTTCAGTTCTCAAGCTATTATAATTCATGCAACAGAGTCAGACATTTTAATAATCAGGGCTGGAACTTTTTCCTTCGAAAGGTGTGTTGAAGAGGAATAAATCCATTAAAAAAAATTGCAACTTTTTGTTAGTTTGGCTTTGAATCAGGTAATTATATCATTTGATTTTTACGTTTAATTTAAACTTGTGGAAGTCATCAGTACCTCTGATATCTTCAGTGTAAACGTGCTGCATTTTTGTCGGGTGTGTTTATCAGAAATTATGCTGAGATGTGTCGTTAAAACGTTGGTTTTGGGTCAGAATGGGACCAACATGACTTTAAACTTTGTCCGCCTCCTGCAGGAGCCGTTGGAGCTGACGGACGTTTACACCGAGCTAAAGACCGGAGTCGTTCTGATCCGTCTGCTGGAGTTCATCTCCAGAGAGAAGCTGCCGCCACCCAGCCGCCGCAAACTGAGAGTCCACTGTCTGGAGAACAACAGCAATGCCATTAACTTCCTCAAAACCAAGGTAACTCACCTTTCACCTCCAAGCCAGTAAGAGTGTAAAAACAAAGCTGACTCACCTTTCCAAGTCACTCTGATGCATTAAAACCATGGTAACGCACCTGTCCAAGTCCAAAGACTGCTCCCCCATGTCATTCAGAGTTCAGAAAATGTAAATCTTTCTCAACCCCCTCTGGATCTTTTCTTTCAGATTCGGGTGGATCTGATTGGTCCAGAGAATGTGGTGGACGGAGACCGCACGCTGATCCTCGGTCTGCTTTGGATCATCATCCTCAGGTTCCAGATTGGACCCATCAACCTGGACGAGGTAGGGAATTAAACCCACACCATTCCTTGTGGCTATTCTATTTTTGTCGTTCTAACTGTGCTTTTCCTTCCTTTCTTCTGTCCTTCCATCCTTCCATCCTTCCTTCCTTTCTTTCCTGCCTTCCTCTCCTCTCCTCATTTCCTTTCCTCTTCTCCTCTCGCTCTCTCCTCAGGCTGGTGGAGGAGGTAGTGTGGCTCATCGCTCGGCAAAGGAGGCTCTGTTGATCTGGTGTCAGAGGAAAACGTCGGGTTACGATGGCGTTGACGTGCAGGACTTCTCTTCAAGCTGGAGGAGTGGACTCGCCTTCAATGCCCTCATCCACGCACACAGGTAACACACTTAAAAAAAACACTCACAAACACATTTGTTTCTGCTGTCCATCCTCACCCCCCCCCCCCCCCCAACATCCCATCCCAGGTCTGACCTGTTTGATTACCGCCGTCTCCATGCCGATGACCCCCGTCGTAACTTGGAGCACGCCTTCTCCATGGCTGAGCGAGAGTTTGGCATCATGCAGCTGCTGGAGGTGGACGACATGGTGGTTCCTCACCCGGATGAGAAGTCCATCATGACCTACGTGTCCCTGTACTACCACTACTTCTCCAAGATGAAGCAGGGACAGACCATCCAGAAGAGACTCACCAAGGTCTGAAAGAGCGGTTTTCATAGTAGTGAAACAAAATTATCACAAATATCTTCCTTTTTACAAGTTAAATACTTTGAGATATATACATCTACATTTTATTAGGAACCTTGAAAACATTTTAAAACATTTCCCCCAAGCTTCTTACTGGTTAACAGTTAGGATCTAAAACTTTTGTACTTAACATGTCAGCTGTGAAGTTTTGCGGTCAAAAGAAGACAGGAATGTTGAGTTCTATATTGCTGGTAAAAATGTATTTTAATTCTTGAAGCTCTCTTGTGTAGCATGGATACTGGTTTGGATCAGTGTAGTATGTGTTTCCCCTCACTCCCTCAAAGGTTGGTGGTCCAAACTGTGGTCTTTTGCTCCCTCTGCAGGCTGCAAAAAGAACTGCAACAGCTGACCATCATGGTTTGTCTGCTCACTGCTAGTGCAGGCTGTTTCAGTGTTTGCACTTCAATGAGTGTTTTAAAATGATAGTCTATGATAGATGATAGATTATTTTGGTGATGGATAGCATAAGAAAATACGTAATCTTCAAAAAAACTTTATAACACAGGTGTGTAAGAGAGGAATAAATCCATCAAACATTTCAAGCTGACTCCTACACACTGTCTAATTGGCAAAATGTCACCAATGTTTTTGTGCAATTTAGTTAGCGTGGAGAAATCAATTTTTGTTCATTATAAACAAGAAATTACCTGAAATTGGGTGTCTAGGACTTCCGTTTTATAGCCTTGGTTTCAAAAGAGATATCAGTATCATACGATTTTTACTAGAATCATATCAGAGTTGAAAATTGGGATATTGTGACAATCTTGTCTTGATTGCAGCTGAACTCAAAAGCAGAACGACGGCAGTTAAGGAACTTTCTTCAGGAACTGCAGGGGAAAGAGAATCGGTCGCTAGTCGGGGGGTCCAGGGCTGGGGGTGAGGGCATGAATCGATGGGAGTTGATGCTCTGGCTGGCTGGCGGGCGGGCTTTGTATGTGATAATGTGGATTAGCAGATTGAACATTAAACTTTAGCTGGACTTGTGACTCAGATTAACCACAAACGGCACAACGATCCAGATGGGAGTGAGTGTTGGTGATGAGTTCTTGTAGGAGTAGGTGATTGCAGATCTGTAACAGGTGTGCAGGGGGAATAAGGAAAGAGGGCAAAGGGGGGAAGGGGAACCAAAACACACCAAACACTCAGAAAACAAACCAAAACACACATCTCAGTGTTTCCCCTACCATTATATTGGGGGCCGGCCCACCCCCCCTGAATGTCAAGTAAAAAAAAATATTATTATTACTTTTTTTTTAAAGATTTATTTTTGGGCTTTTTGTGCCTTTATTGTAGGGATATGATAGTGGATAGAGTCGGAAATAGGGAAAGAAGTAATTTAAAGATACCTTTACGATAGAAAAGGACATCTGTCATTAAAAGTAACGCACCAAGATGAACACCAAGATTCCTTCAAGTGTTTGTGTTGTCGTGTTGCCGTGTCGGCAT